TTTGTGTGTGTGTGTGTGTATGTATGTATGTATATAATGTGAAATAAAATAAGGTGATCACCAGGATAAAATCATAAACACAAATGTTTAATCTACAAAACCAAGCTTTCATCGGCCACACTACTGACATCGTCAGGGTATAAAATGCTGGATCCGGGAGTCCATTTTTATGTGGCTGGCTGCCTCTGCGCTTTGATCCTGGATCGGGTCATAGGTCCGCCCATTAGCATCAACTGTGTAGTTCTTAAAGGAGCCGTTTCTAAAGTTGTCCTCTCCACTCTAATTGCTGTTGTTTTCTTTGTGCGTGTGTGGGTGCCTGGAGATCCATTGTTCATCTGCTCCCAGTCATCCCTCCCCACCCCCTCATTCATCTTAGTTTGCCTCTGTATTGCTGTGCTATCTAGTGTGTGTGCTTCAAGCTCTGTTCTTCTATTTGCCAGCCCTGTTGCTTTCCTTGCCCGTGTAAACTGCTGGGGGTTGGTCGTCTCGTTGTTCCTGTTTCTTATCGCCCCCCTTCTCTCTCTCGCTAATGGGTGAACTCCTGTGTGTGTTAATGGGTTGCTAACCGGCCGTGTCTTTGGAATGGCTCCACTACTTGTTACCCTCATTGCCCCCTTGGTACATATATGAGAGCGCAGGAGATACCCATCCCGTTTGCGCTCGCTATTACTTGTTTGTTCTCCCGTTGATCGGGGTCGTAATTCTATTGCTGAGTCATTCATGAGGCATGCCTCCGGTGCATCTCCCCCATTCTTAAGTTCTATTACCCCTGCCCTGCATCTGTAGTCATCCAGGTTGTGTCCAGGTGCTTTTGCCTCTCATTTGCTACCTTCCTTGTTAGCAGGTGTGCTCGTCTGTCTGGCCAAGTGTCATCAACGGGGTATATCGGAGCTTTTCCTTTCTCCCCGGTATGTGTGTATGCCTCTTGGGGGAAGCCATCCGGTGGTACCTGTTCATTGTTCTCCTTCCCTCATCCTAACTGAATTGAGTTGTTTGTGCTTTGGACGCCTGTGGGATATATTTCCCTCATGTTTTTTCTCATCCTCCTTGTTCTTCCATGGATCTGAACATCAGCTCCTGGGGGTGGGTTGTCTGCTGGCGTTGTGTCATCCCTCCTCTCCTCTTTCATGTTTAAATGGATTAGAGACGTCGTTTTACTTGTGGGGTGTATCCCCTGTTAATTGCTCTTTCTCAGGGTTGTGATCATCTCCCCTGTCATCCCCTCTTTCTGATCTTGTACGGAGTGAGTTGGTTGCCTGTGTTTCCAATTAGCACCTCGTCCTTCCCATCCCCTTAGTATGTGATATGCTGGAGGGAGCTCTATGTGGCGATTGATGGAGTGTTTGTCTGACAGCCAGGCTTCTTTGAGGAGGCGGCCTCCCTTGGTGTTATCTTGGGATATGGCCTCGACATTGGTGAGGTCGAATCCATGGCTGTAGTCAGCCATGTGGGTCCACACCTGTGAATATTGCTCTTTTCTCTTAACTGCCAGCTCATGCTCGTGGACCCTGGTCTTAAGTCTCTTGGAGGTTTCACCAACATAATTGCAGGGGCAATCCTTGCAATTAATTTTATATATTACTGAGGATCTTTCTACAGTGGGGAGTGGGTTCTTGGGGTGCACGATCCTAGCGTGGAGAGTCTGGTCTGGTTTGTGGGCTACCTTCATGTTGAAGGGGGCTAGCAGTCTGGCCGTTGCTTCTGATACTCCCTTGATGTAAGGCAGGGTCGTTCGTATGGGCTGTGTGCATGTCGCCTTGTCTTGTGCATCAATGCGTGGTCGGTGTGGTCTACTGTGCTGTTTAATAAACTCCGTCGGATAACCATTACGTCTACAAGGTAGAAATAATGTTAAAATGAGCAAAGCAAACCAAAAGGAAACTACCCTCACCCTAGTTCACCTGGCCACTTTTAAGAACAACCCAAAGTTGTCAGAAGGGAATGTTTAAAGTTCATTTACAGGAAAAAAATAATTCTTCCTTTACTGTATGTTCAAGTGGGTTTCATCTATTTAACATCTGTAAAGTTAACCTTAATGTCTTTTCAAAACCCTGCCTACAAGCTATCTACCTCCCCCATTCCACTTCTCCATTTCTTAACCTTGATTCTCCATGTCTTTGTCTGATCACAAAGGGAGGAGGGGACCCTGTTCTCATATTTTTCAGCCCTGCACAGATGACTCCACAACCAGAGCACACTGGCCCAGATGCTGCTTCCAGAGAAGATCCTCCATGCATTTGAACCAGGGAATTGGGTATGAATCCAGCCATCCAGCAAAGATCACCATGAAACCAGAATAGAACAAATCTTCCCATATGCCTGAGAAAGCTGCAGAGAAAGGAAGGACTCCTGGAGCCACTGGCCCCCATGTGAAGCCTCAAAAGACAACTGGAAAGACTATGGCAGGAGGGTGGAAACTCATTGTAAAGTTTTCTTTCTTGCCTCATTTGTATTGCAATAAGCCAGTTAAATGGATTCATGGAGGGATGGCATTTGGAATGGTTGGCACAGCAAGTCCTGAACACCTTGGACCTCTGCCTGGTGGGAGGAAAATTTGTCTAGGACATTGTATTGCATGTCTTGTATAAGTAGCTGCACACACACACACACACACACACACACACACACATATAATTCAGAATCATACTGAAGCTATCTGCTTCACCTACCTTCAGTAAAGCTGCCCAGGCTGGTTCTTGCTCTGTCATTAAGGCCTTTGCATGCATACCTTTCTGAAAATTCCAAGGGGGAGGGATCCATGCCTCCCTCAGGTGATTTACAGTCCATATGCCCTCACTGAGGAAATAGCAGAAAAGAGATTTCCAAACCCAAGCCCTGAATATGCACTAAACTAAGAGCTAAGGCAGGAAACAACCCTTGAAAATGGGCAGCCAATGGTTATGTACTGAAGCAAACCATGGCTGTGAAGAATTTTGGGAGGCATGTACAAACTTGACTGGACCTCAAAATGACATCAAACATCTAAAAGAATTGGCACAGAATATTGGCCATTATAAATTTCCTTTCGAGCTAACATACCTTTTGCCCTGGCTTTAGACCTTCATGGTTGAAAGACTCCCCTTTTAAGAACCACTGCAGGGATCTTTTTCCCACACTTACATGGCACAAAGGGGGGATTGCAGGAAGACAGCACCCCCTCCAAAGAAAGAAATATTTTGGGGAATATTAAAAAGGCAGAATATTATATTTTCCCAAAGGAATAATGGAGAAAATCTTAGGCAGAACCCCCCCCCCCAAGTCTCTCTGCCCCAAGCAGAAACCAGCTCTGTAGAAATGCAGATTTGATAATCTTGGACTGGACCCTGAAGATTTTTCTTTCAACACAAGTATCTTACTCACAGAAACGTTTATGAATCCTATTAAATAGTAATATGTGGGAATTGGTTTCCTGAGATGGCTCCCTTTATTAGCCTTTGCCTCTGCTATCCCCATTTTACAGGGAGGGGAATTTACCATCCTGCTTCTGTCCCCTAATTTGGCAATACCTCTTCCGGTGGTATCAGGGGAATAGTCTCTCTTACAACTATAGCTTTGAGTGTTTTCCTGTCACATTTCTTCTTCTGCAATTTATACATCTCTGAAGTGGGAATGCAATCTATTTTTTTTAACTAGACTTTTCTGCATTCAGGAGCTCCAAAAAGTTTTGGGCTTGAGCTTTGGTTATCTTTCCTACTGTCCTGGTCTTCTTACATGGACCCATCTGCATGGTGGGTCCTGTGCTAAAAGAGGACCTCAAAAGTCAGGTGGAGCTTTGCTTAACAATTGCAATCTCATGCCTTCCTATGGGAGTTCAATATTTGGTCATCAGTATCTATGTACATATATACAATATACCCATTTGCAGCTTCCTTCTTCCTTTCTTCTTTCCCTTCTATTTATTTCTCTTCTCAGCTTCCATACCACATTTCTGTATTCCAGTCATGGGAGCCAAGCTTTTGCATTTACAGGTAGTCCTTATGATCATTCATTCAGCAACCATTCAAAACTGCAATAGCACTGAATAAGGGGAATGTCCAATGGTCCTCAAAATTCTAGTTGTCACGGTGTCCCAGGGGTCACATGACTGTGATTTCCTATATTCCTTGCAACCTTGCCACAAGTAAAATCAGGAACCTGGCAGGAAATTGGAAGACACATCCTAAGAGGTTCATGAGTTGCACTAGGGCTAGGCAAACAGCTGGCACTAGTATGTGCATTTCAATGTGGTGTGCCTGTGTATGCTCTTGGTGTGCCTGTTTATGCTCTTGTAATCCTTTTCCCTCAAATCAATGCAACTATAAACATTCTCTTCTTGCTAATTATCCCAGCATCAGAGTGAACGTTCCAAAGGGTGGGGAGCAGGATAAAAGGCTACAAGATCTTCCCTTTTATCTGGCTTCCTTGTGAGTCCCTTCATTTGGGCTCACTAGGTATATGGGGTCATATCCATCTGATGCTATACAGCAGACATGTCAAACTCGCGACATCACATGACGTCACGCGATGTATCGGGACTGTTTTGCCATTGCCGGCAATGGGGTGGGCATGGCTTCCACGTGATGCATCTAGCCCGCAGGCCAGCAGTTTGACATCCCTGCTCTAAAGCAAAGGGAGCTGAAATAAAATCAAACGTAGTCACATGGTTTTTCACTTAGCAACTATTTTTTGTAACAACTGAATTGTTGGTTCCAATTGTGGCTGCTAAACAAGGATTACTTGTATTCCATCAGCTGCATCAGCTGGCTGACCTAATCTGGCAAATCAATTAATGCAGATATGTCAAACTCGCAACGTCATGTGACGTCGCATGACGTATTGGAGCTTTTTCTCCATTGGCGGCAATGGGGTGGGCGCGGTTTCCTGGTGACACGTCCGGCCCACGAGCCGGCAGTTTGACACCCCTGAATTAATGCTTAGAAAAGGCCAGTGAGATAATATCTTATATTTCCGTATAAGTTTCCACCAAACAGCTCTATCACATTCAAGAAGGACACATCAAATTCCTTATGAAGTCCCCTTTACTTTGTTCATTAAAGGAAGCATAGCCTTGTTAGTCTATGGTAAACAAAAATGAGGAATTTGTTAGTTCAAACACTTGCTACAAGACTCACTTTGAATGGGTTCACTTTGTATAGAACAATGAATCAGTCATGGCAAGTTCTAGCCCATTCGGTGTTAAATAACAGCTTTTGTAGGAATGTAGTTTGGAAAGCCCGTGCCAATTTCTAAACTTTATCTTAATCTTTAATTACTTATAAATATATAATTTTGTACTGTAAAAAACAAATAAACAAAAACAAAACAAAAACAATTACAGAAATCCATCTGGCTGAACCTCTATCAGATTCTGAATATCAAAGTAGATTAGGCTATTTCCAGAGCCCCTCTTTCTGGATCTTGGATTAGACTGTGAATGGGAGTATTTAATGTATCTTTACAAAATATACTAAAATTGTGTGACAGTAAAAATCATTTATGGATTTTTTTTATTTTTTAAAGAGCTTAACACCTCTATATGTAAAAACATCAATTTCAATTATCTATTGTCATTGCTTTAAAATGAGCTGCTGATTGATAATTCAGATTAACCAAATGTTTACAGCTAAAATATATATAGAAAATAATCTACATTCTTCATTCCAGATGCATTTAAAAATGTATTTATAATGTTACATTATGAGGTTGGAGGTTCATTCTCCAAGGTTGTGTGTTGGTATCTGAATATTTCATTACCAAACTAGGTAACATCTTCAGCGGAGTTTAGGGGATGTCATATATAATGTTACATTATAATATTTTATCTGCTTAAAGAAGGTCTAGAAATTTATCATTTCCCCAGTAATTATAGTTGGTAAAATTTGTCTTTTATGGAAAGGCTTTTAGATTTGGATCCACTGTTTATAACTGTATACAATCCAGCTTCATGTGAACATATTAAAGAGAATGATATATGATTTCAGACTTTCATCTTCTGGTTCAACGATGCTGTATATGTTCTCTTGTTCATTTACTTAGATCTGTAAAATAAAATGTGAACAGTAAAGAAATAAATTTGCATCTGTACATTTTATGTAATTCTTTTTTAAACTGATTCATCTGATCTTCAGCAGAATGCAGCCTGAAATAATTTTAAGATATCAAACTACATGGACAATAAAATTCTGAATTGTCAGCATTGCCATTTTTTACATCAAATGAATAAAACTACTCAAGTGACTCAAAAACATTTTATCACTGAGCAATTTCTTTCTTTTTTTTAGATGACTTTTGACACAATGACATGTAATAATCTTTAATAATTTATTAGACATTCTTGATATTTTGGGAAATAAACTTTGGCACTCAGAATGAATCTGAATGAATCTCACTCCGAATAGGATTTGGGAATTAGATGTTACCAAACTTTAAATCATCCTCACAGGGGATACATTTGAGGAAAGATGGAACACAAATGCAGCGAATAAACAAATTCCCATTATCTTCAGACAACACAGCCAATAGAAGGATACTGGGAACCGTAGTTCAGCAAGGCCAAGAAAGTCCTCATTTTCTATCAACTAAGATGTTCTAATAAAAGGTCCACTATAGAAATATTTGATATTTACATGTAAATCTCAACACAGATTTGTATTTCACTAATACCATTTGTACTAATTGCAATTTCAAATGCAAACCCCATCATATAATAAGATTTCTGTTATCCAAACTAAATTCCTTCCATTCAGAGCAATGGGAAAGAAGAACTATGGGGACTGGGATCAATAGAATTTCATTTAGTGATGGATAATCAATCAATATTGTCCAATTCGTTTTAGAGAATCTTCTTGTTCAATCTATTTTTCCATCTATTCTAAGCTTAGAAATATTTCATGGGATGCCTTATTTTACATGTAATAAATAATGTATGATTACACAGAGCTGGTGGTGCAGTGTTTAGAACACAGTATTGCAGGCTAACTCTGCATTCCCTTTGCCAGGAGTTTGATACTAACCAGTTCAAGGTTGACTCATCCTTCCATCCTTCCAAGGTTGGTAAAATGAGGACCAGATATTTGGGGTCAATATGCTGAGTCTGCAAACCACTTAGAGAGGGCTGTAAAACACTATGAAGTGGTCTATAAGTCTAAGTGCTATTGCTATATTAGTATTAGTGGTTACTAATTCGATTAATTTTATTTTTTGTTCTGGTCCTGTGGCTTCTGACAGGCATTTATAAATATGCATGTAGACACATGAGTAAGTGAGTAAGAATATGCAAGTTTAAAGAGAATATTTCAATATCAATGCAAATGAAATAAATAAAGTAGAATGTATGGGCATTCATTTGGAACCATTCATTGTGAGGCAACTAAATTTGTTGCACTCAGGCCAATGAAATCAGTGAAAATAGCCCACTGGGTTTAAAGTAGAGTTTCCACTCATTTCACCCCCAGCACAGAGAAATCTCCTAGTCTTCATCTTGGAATCTGTCAGGATTCAGCAACAGACCAGAAGAGATGAAATGTTGGCAGATTCAGCATTCCGTGCCCCATTCCTCATTATTTTTAAGTATTACCCCCGTCCCCATAGTGCTTCTCTCCCATTGCTCTGAACGGAGGGAATTTTATTTAGATCATAGGAATCTTAAGAAGTTTTCTGATTTAGAAGAATTGCAGAAGACCAAGTTACCTCAGAATCTATTACATCTACAACTTTAGCTGCCAGACTTTTAATTATTTTAAGTGATTTTTTCAATGCATAAATAAAGATATAGAAAAGGGAAAGAAATGTTAATATTGGTGAATTAAAGTATTTTTCTAAAAGTATACATACAGGAATGCAATGCGGATAGTCAAATTTCCCATTCACACAATTAACTCTTAATGGCCCGGAATTTGGATGTAGTTTATGGCGTCTTATACATTGAAATTCAACTATATTTCCATCTGCGGAATATATTTTATCCCCATTGGCCCACTTCAGCTTTATATTGTGTTCTCTCATATCTTCTTCACTTGCTGTACAAGCACCTGCAGAAGGACACAGATCAAATGACATATAAAAAGTTTGAAGTATTCATTTGATAAAACAATTAAAGTTTAGGTTAGAAATTCTATGTTGCGGTAGTATAAAATGATTAGAGAGCTATGTAAAAGGATTTTTCTCTCTCTTTGTCCTTCCCTTTTCCTTTTGTCTTTCAACTATTATCAGTCATGAACTAAACTGCTTAACATACACAAACCTCTTTTAAGCAAGACAATGTTACATGTGTAAAAGGAAGAAGAAAAATGTTTTAGTCCCCTTCTTCTTCCAAATTTTCTCATACTGAAGATCTCAATTAGTAGAAGACCACGTTCAGGCAACTTCTCTTAAAATGTCACCTTATATCTTCTTTTTCAACATTGACTAATCAGGGTAGATGTGATTAAGTCAAAAGAGAACAGTCTGCCTCCATATACATATAAAATGCTTATTTAAAAAACAATAATTTTAGTTCTCTAGAGATTCAAGTATTGCTATCATTCAAAAAACAAAACAAAACAAAAATCCTATGGGATTGTTGGGAAACATGACTTTTTGTAATTTTTGTTCAAGGAATGATTGATTGATTGATTGATTGATTGATTGATTGATTGATTGATTGATTGATTGATGATGATGACGATGATGATGATGATGATTAGAGTGCACTGTGATCTCAGCTGTGAAATACTAAGAAAAAGAAAATCTACATACAGAACTCAAGTAAACTAAAATCTGATTTTTTACAAGTTCTTTTCAATCATGCCAGTGACTAAAAAGGTGTCTGTTATGAAATGTAGCTTAGAGAAAGCAGAATTTCAGCAACAAGTTTACACAAAATGAGGACAACTTTTGTAAATGGTGGAAGATTTTGTACAATTGTCCATTATTAGGCAGTTTCTCCCTGAGATAGTTACTTTATCTTGCTTCAGAATATTACCGCTTCTAATTCCATTACAAGGCAGTAAAATATCTTCTGACACTAACATACTGACATAACAGCTCTGATGTCATGAAATTTATTCCATTCCCAAAGTACAATATTTCTCTATAAAGAATAAATCTATAAAGAATTATAGATATTACTTATACCTCTACATGTTGGTGTTTGTGACCAATGACCATTTTGACAAGTCACTCTGGGAGAACCTTCCAATGTATAGAGATTTTGGCACTGATAAGTTACACTTTCAGACTGGAAATAGTTTGCCTTGGGTGAGTCCCTGATGTCTCCATGCTCCACAGGAGGTGGGCGTCCACATTTCCCCCCAATATCTATAATACATACAGAATCTATTGAGCATGATTACAAATATTATACTTTATAATATGCCCATGATTACAAATATTATAATGTACGCACACAAAGAATGTTTTAACATACATAAGAAATTACATTGCAAAGTATACAAATTCTTATTTTTAAAAAGCAACAATGTCCTACAGCTTATTTAACTGATAGGCAGAAAACGATTACCAGTGTTGTCCCTAGTATTGTCTTTCAACTTTAGAACATATTGTGTCATTACTTTCTTAATACTTTAAGTCAGATCTCTGTTAAAATGAATAGCACAAGGCATTCTTAATTTTATTACCCTTTCTCCATTAACAACTGTTCAAATCTTGTACAAATAAATTGTGTAGTTGTACTGGATGCTATGCCATCCATGTGATGGCATGGATGGGAGTGATTGAAGTGATGGGACAGCTTGCAAAACAATAAAAGCAAGAACATTTAAAAAATTATAAACATTAAAATTAATAGAGTACATAATCAGTACACTGGTGGAATCTTCTTTCTTAGTCCACCAGTCATTTCCAGTGTAAAATGCCCCATCATGGTCCCAGTTGGCCAATTGGCTGAGCCAGGTTTTGAGACAAATCCAGAAGGCCTGGAGGGTGAGGGTGTATTTTGCCTTCAGCAGCAAGATTTTTCCAGATATTTTTTTTTTTGGGTGGGGGGAGGCATGGCAGAGAAGTCTCTTTTACTAGATCCTGCTAGCCCAAGTTCCTTGACTGAGAAGGTCTGCAGCATGTTCCTTTTGCAGGAAGGAGTGGGGTGGGCCAATCCCATTGGGGTGAAACAGCCTCCTGTACCATGAAGAGCTTTAAAGATGATGTCTAACACGCTGAATTGGACCCAGAAGCAAATCAGCAACTTGTGCAACTCATGTTACAGCAATGTTACATGCACCATTGAGCAGGCATTGCGAGTCTAAGAGAACCCATAAGTTGTACACAGGATCTGTCTAGGGCAGTGCAATGCCATCCAGAACTGAAGATGTTAAATGCCCAGATCCCAAGGCTCCAAGCAGCCATAACAACATAGTCTTATCAGGGTTCATTTGAAGTCTGTGGTTCCCCCATTCAGACACCCACAGCATCTAAGGAGGGGACAGCATAATGTTTCTTTAAAGTGCCATGACTGCCCCCTTCTGCAGTGATGCATTAATCATCACCTGGAGGTCACCATCATGGAGATTTTCACCAGCCAGGAGGGACATGGATTTAAAATGCAGGTAGTTGTGTTGACAGCATTGAGGACCTGTTCTAACAAGATCAATCTTTTCCCAGATAACTGGGTAAGCCATCTCTAATGGACCTGCTCTATGTTTAGTCTCCAACTGAGAATGGATACAAGCAACTTTTTCCATCAGGTGTTCCACAAATTTCTCCACATGGCCCTGAAGATGATCACCCAAGTCCTCCTTCCCAGGAGGAACCCTATCATCTTAAGTATGGCCATTGGGTGATACTCTGCAAATGAGATAAGAGCAGAAAAATAATGTATTGTTTCACCACTCTTACCACCACAAAGCTACCTTAACAATGACTCTGATCGGTGTCCTGTCAGATTTGTCCCTTATTTTCCTCCAGTGCCTCTCTAGACATCTCTTGACCTTTTTCATACCCTTAACTCCTCCATGAATCATGGAGAAGGCCAGGAGAGAAGGATTAGGAGATGCTGCATGGATACAATCCTATCCAAAGCATCAGCCATATTCTGATTCCAGGTCATAGTCAGAGTTTTGGCAGGATCATGCAGTAGAATTCCCAGGGTATCCTGCCAAATCACATTCCCATTGCTCCAAGAAAATCATATCTGGAGTGTGGCCACTGTCATGAGTTGGGCTGTAGATGACCTTGGATAGGAATATGGTGGCCAAAATAGATTCCTGGATAATACCTCCTTCTTCTCTGCCCTGAGGTCTTAACTGGTGCTAAACCCTAAACCCAGCTGCACACATCTCTGAGAGGGAGATTCCCCATTCTGGAGTGTGCCTGGACTTGGTGATACATGCCAGGTTGGCTGCTCTTCACCAATAAAGTCACAAATAAGGGAAGCTTTGTAATTAACTGACCTAGCATTTACTAACAGCTGAATAAATGGGCTACTGAGGATCTGCTGTCCAGAGATTGGCCATGACCTCAGGAACATCTCACCAGTATTAAATACAAGGGATGTCTTCATCTGTAATGGGCCACCCTCTGACTCCCGTCTAAGACTACTACATGAAAATGTTCTATTTCTGAAAAACCTCTTCCCATTTTGACCCTGTTGCCTGGAACTCCTATCTATTCCTCTAATTACACTTTTTTCTGTGAAGGTTTTGATTTACTTCTGGAGGAGGCATTTATGAGAAGGGAAGATGTCAAGTAGCTGGGGGGGGCAGGGGGACAATGGAGAAAAAAGTGTGCCCCATTTGTACTAATGTCATCATATTGCAGCCATAACAAAAGGGTTTAATTTGCATTTTGATGAAAGCATCAGATCCTGTGAACAGATTCTGCTAATAAAATTCCAGTGAGAAATTAGGCAATACAACTAAAAGGTGTATAGGAAGATGTAAGGCAGACTTCAAAGAATAGAAAGAAAAATCAGAATTTGAAGAGTTCTTAACTGTATATTAGCATACTCTTACAGGGAAATCAGGAACCAGCCAAATTTAAGACCGAGTTACTCAAATTAGTAGACATGAATCAAACCATTGGGAGGACATTTGGGCAATGATGGAAAAGCTTTCTGGATCTCAGATTCTATTGGCTAAGGATTTCGATGGAAGATATACCATTTTATCAAACTTGCCCAAATGCCAATGACTGAGCCCCAAGGAATAGAAATATAGGTCTTCTTCTCAAAATGGTTAAGGGTAACCAGTGAGAAAAGGTGGATTTCTGCCATCAAGATTGGTGGGGAATGCACTAAGGTAGAAAAATGTAGGTTGAGGATAGGACAAGTTATGCTCC